CCGCCGAATTACATGTCAGACTGTCACGGCGATTTTTCTAATCCTGTTAGAAATGTGACAATGAAAACCCCGAGTAGTTTCTGTGACTCAGAGTTTGGTCCTACTGAGTCTGTGCCAGCGCTTCTTTGAATTCAACTTTAAGCAAACGTCACTGAAATGTAAACCGTGAAGCCTTTGACTTCCCTTTGGGTCATTGGTGGTCAGACCAGGTCCTGATTCCCTCATACACAGGTTTAACCAAACACCTTTTTGACAGCAACTCACAAGGATTTCTAAAATATCTAAACTGTGTAAAATGTAATTATAACCAAAAAAAATCGAATAGCAACTAGAGGACTAGAGCTGAATTCATTAAATTCTTGGTGTAAACAAACATTTTTACACAAACACAAATCAAGCCTAGTTTCTCTTCAATGGTTGTCATCGTTGTTGTACAAACACCAGCAGCTTCCAGCTCCAGGTCATCATACAGTACAGGTCAACAAGAAGAGTGGCAGCTGCTGGAGAGGAGGTGAGGAGAGATGGCAGCGGAAGAGAGGGGAACGCATCAAGAATAAAGAATGAACACAAGGAACTGCGTCGAAGTGACAAACGCTGACCTCCGATCGCATCGGAACAAAGCGCAGATCTGAGCAAAGCAAAGCGTCGCACTTCAAAATAATCTGCAGCTGACAGCTGTCTAACAGCCTCCAGGGGGCGGTGGGATTTGAAAGACACACATAGGACGTGTGTGCATATTTACACTGTTCGCTGACTTGATGCAGGGACTCACATACAGTATGCAGGACATGTACTTCACTGTCGGAGCCCAGCATGTGAGCTAATGACAGGATCAGGGTTGTTAGCAGCCAATAGAACGCTTGGAGCTGTGAGTGGCCGCTGCTCCTCAGTAGGAACGCACCAGTCAGATCTTAATGTTGGATATTTGGATTATTTTTAATTCTGTTGCATTTTTATTTTTAAATAATTTATGTTTTTATTTAATCAATAAAAACCAATTCTGTGACAATACACCTACTGTGTGTTACTTTGGTTCTGTTAATCTAAGTCTGATCCCTTCAGTCTCTGCCTGATGCTGATGTAATCGATTCAACATTAATGTCAGATCAGTTTAAAGCAGAGGTGTCAAACATGTGGCCCGCGAGCCAAGACCGATTGATTTTGAAAGTGAAAAAATGGCAAAACTGGTTCAATCTGGCCCAATTGATCAATTTTAAAAATGAAGAGATGTACTTATTTGCAGAAAAACAAAGAAGAAAAACATGGCCTCAGTGGTATTTATAGGTAATTATGCGATGATTGTTCTGGTCCGGCCCACTTGACATCAAATCAGACCGTAGTTTGACACCCTGGTTTAGAGTCTCAGCTGATGTCAAGCCCAGGTATCGGTTCTATCATAATCAGGACTGAGAGTCAGATTGGTGCAGCCTTACTCATCAGCAATGGGTTAATTGCTGTGTGTGTGTGCGGTGACTAATAAAGCCGATTCTTCTTCTTCTAATTAATGCCCTGCTCCTCCATCCTGAGTTGTTCAGGGTTCACCATGGGCCACACTGTTGCAGCCCGCAGTTTAACTGCAGTACTCCTACCTTCCCTCAAGTCACTTTTACCAGGACAGTGAAGTAGCCAGGTTATTTTGGGCTCCCCCTGTGTGTATATGCATGTGTGTGTGTGTGTGTGTGTGTGTGTGTGTGTGTCTATCCCTGTGTGCATGTGTGTGAGGGAAGGAAGGAAGAGAAAGATCATGTGTAACAGTTTCCGCTGACAGCCCAGACAGCTACCTGCAGCACACCACACCACTCGTTATCCCGGCTCAGCTGTGCAGCACTTCATCGCGCTTCTTCATCCATTGCTTGTCTTTTTCACCTCCGAGCAACATTAACATATCCTTCCTTCCTCATCCGAGCACAACTTCCCTTTCCACCCACAGCGGTGCTGACAATTAGGTCAGCATATGGCCTATTTAAAGCACGAAGAACTCCGGCAATGAGATTTTCTCTGTCACTTTAGATCATCAAAGATGGGAACGAATCAGACACCCGGGCCTTCTTACCAAACACTAGTGACAAAAGAAAAACAAATTATGTCCAGAGCTTCGGTTCCTCTCACATTTCTGTTGCACTTTCACAGAGGTGAAGTGAGGGTTTTGCATCAAATATGTATGGACTGCATGTAGCAGGTCGCTGCGTCAGATAAGAGTAAAACGCACCGATGTTGTGAAGGTCAAGCTGCTGTTAAAGCATCTCTGACACGTGTAGTAGACGCCGGTGTATCTCATTGCAGTATCACATTTCAGAATCACTTCAGCTTTGCCTATGACCTTTGTCCAATGGGCTGACCTACAACACAGGTGAGTGGATCGACTGAGGCAACAAGCCGCAAAGTGTTGTTCTCATGTTTTCCCTATTCATTTTTAAGTACAAGTATTTTAGAAAATATTCACATTTAATAAAACATCATTTGACAAAACTTCACCAATCATCTAGTGGGCCGGATTGAACCCCTTAGTGGGCCAGTTTTGGCCCGTGGGCCGTATGTTTGACACAGCTCTGGTTAGTTAAACTCAGGCATTAAACGCAGCTCTGTTACGAGGCGGTCGACTAAAACGACCGCCTCGTAACATAATAAAATGTCCCGTTACAATAGCCGTTAGGGTGCCATTCAAAAGAGCTTAAGCCTGCTGCGCTGCTCTTTTAGCTTCACGGCTAATTGAGAAACTCATCTTGTGGCCTTAATGGGACGGAGTCATTGACCATTACAACGCTGCTCGGTGATTAACACTAATGCTGCCGTTTTAAATAGCCCCGCTACCAAATTGTGTTGCGTTTAATAATTTGAATTACCTTGTGGTATTTCAGCAACTGAATATGAAGTTGCTTCCACTTAATTCAGGGCAGAACAACTTTCCCAACCAATGGCTGTAGGGCAAGAATCAGTGCAGAGGACTTCACTTTAAGGGGAAGCACTTGTCACCACAGGAGGAAGATCCTCATGAAATAGCCCCAAGGCAGCTCCATCCATCCTGTTACAGACAGTACCAGTACCATGTTCCACCTGCTGTTTCTAATGTTACCTGGAATAATATATTGCTCTTCATTTGCACTCAGTTTATTTTTGTTTTTAGCATTTCCTGTGCACACTTCCAACTCTCAGGGGGAGGTTCTCCATCTTTCCAGAAGCATTAAGTGTGTGACCTCCATTACTTTCAGTGTAGCTCTCCCGGGGCTCCACCGATGAACCCAATATAGGTTTGCCTACAGTGCTCTGTGAGTAATTGACGCACGAACCCCGATCAGCCTCACTCGCAGCCTGACTGCACTAAAACAAGTTTCTGTGTGTGAAATACTGAATAGTACTACACAAGCTGTGAGGGACTAAGTATTTTAGAAAGTTTTTTTTTTAGGACATGATTGACAAAAATGCCCCGGCACTTTATTTGTTGTCAAACTTTTGCCCCATAATTTTCAATCCGAATGACTCCTAAGGGGTATTGCAAAAAAGCAGAATAATGATATCCAGGATTAGCACAGCTTGACCTCTTCTAAACAACGCATCCTGAATTAATTGGTTGCACGTACAACAAGCCTGCATGAAAAGCCGTATGTCAAGCCAGGAGCAGATATGAGTAGTAGATATTCAGGATGAGTGCATGTTCACCACGTTGTCAAATAGACCTCGACAGTGAGGTTATTCTATTAAAACAAAGGACTATATATATATATATATATATATATGTATATATATATATATATATATATTTATAGTGTATATATACACACACACACATACATATATGCATACACATACGTATACATACATACATATATATGGTCAGAAGCAGGCTAGTTGCAGAGTATAAATCACCGTAGTAACATTAGTAACATGGCCTGGTTAGCTCGGTCATGCTATCGTGTAACCATCTTCAGCACAAGTTCAGCCTGGATAAGCAACACATCTGGGGTTAATCCCGTTCCTCGGTTTTGTAGCATTCCCTTCAGTTCTTCTTATTAATGCAGTGTCTGTAGTCTACCTCGGTGTTCACTGCTGTTACTGCTCTATCTTTCTAAATCTTCTTCTTTACTTCTAGAACTGTATATCTTCATTAACAAGCTTCTCCAAATCAAGCGGTTGATTGGAGCAGCATTACCGACTGATGGGAAATGTCACTGCTGCCAGTTTGTCACAGCTGCTTTAACAAGGTAGGATGCAACACGTTGCTCTGACACATGAAATGACTGGCGGATAAACAAAGAGACATCGCAAACGGAGAGAACAAAACGTGGATTTATTGTGGCGGCGGTGATGGGTAAAATGGACAATAATTCAGCCTCAGCTCAGTCGCCTATAAAGATTACAATCTTTCAGGGCCCTGAAAGCTTTTTGTCTGCTTTCAATTCATCGTGTAAACAACTGCTCATGTTCTGACGTGATTACAATATAATCTGCTCTATAATGGCACTAACATATACCGTATACAGAGGAGGGTCTAACAGCCAGGGTACCACGGCTGTGGCTGCAGAGCACTAATGAAAAGGACAGGGAACCTAGAGAGGGTCGTTGGTCTTAACCGTGGAGGTCGTGTGATTAATAAACAGTTCAGTTCAAACTGTCCCACATATTCATGTTTTGCATGAGCGCCTTTTTCACACACACACACACAACTGTCAACCAGAGCCTCACTGCTGCAGCTGTGTCACTCAGTGAGCACCTTACAGGGCAGGGGTCCCTAAATCAAATGAGCTGCTGCTATTATTATTACATTTGAGGGACAAATCAGTGATCAATGTTCAATTAAAAAAAAAAAAGTAACTTTTGGTTGATATGAATAATGTACAATATAACAGTGCAAACAGCTGGTGTAATTATTCCTTCTAATATAGAAAACGTTAGTCAATACTGGGGATTAAATCTGATTTTCTGTGTTCCACTAACATGAATGGTGTTTTTTTCAGCCTGCAGTCCTACCTGATAATTTGGTGTTTGTTGTGTTTGTTTCTCACCTCTCATGTCTTCTGCAGGTGTTCACTCTCTGCCTTCCTGCGCTCACATTCCCAACAGTAAACAGGTGAATTCCTTTTCCTCCCTCCACAGTGATTGCCTCACCCTCTCCACCTGTGTCTCATTAACTCCTGTCGCAGCATATATACCTGCTCTTCCCTCTCTGCCACGGTAACGTCTCGTGTCGTCCTGTTTTGTCTTTGACTTTGCTCTTCTGTATCTGCACCTTAGCCTTAGCTTATTTATTTATTTATTTATTTTAAATCTTGTTTTTCCCGCCAGTATCCTCAGCCAAACTGTCATTTGATCCATTTTCTGGCCCCCGTTGGAAGAAGTCCTGTACTGCAGTGTTGCATCACAGTATATTTATTTTTACATCGTGTGAAGAAATCGAGCTCACGGTGGAGAATGGTTTATTGGTTGTAAGACTTTGTTTAGAACTTGTCTGTCGACTGGCAGCCACAGAAAAGTAGACAGAAAGACAAACAAACAACAAAGGCCTGGCTGACGTTGACAGAGAACTCGTCTGAATATTAAAGTCTGACTTTCTGAGCCCTCCTCACGCTTCAGCTAACAAGACCAAAATCTGATTTTAGACAAATAAATGTCTTCAACACAGACTAATTAAAGACATTACATCTGATAAATGTGTGTCAAAGATGTTTGGTGTCTAATTCACTGGGTGCCGTTCAAACAAATCTGCAAAACGTCGGCTAATTCAGCTTTATCTCTGACAACGAGGGAAGGAGAAGAAACTGTTTCTGTTTCCTCATTTGTTTTCTTTGTGCCATATATATTTGTGCGTCCCTATTATGGTCAATATTGTTTGATAAAATGTATTTATTTAGCAAATGAGAGCGTGATTGTGATTATTAGACAAATGAATACAAATATAGGTATGAACTGAATTTAAATAGTTCACCTCATATGATGATATTTCTGTAAGTCGATCACAGCAACATTTAAGAACTGGTGCAGCCTTTCAGCTGGAAACAGTTAGTGTGCATGTGAATGTGCACATGTGTCTGTAAGATGGAAAAAAGAGAGAGAGAGAACAAGTGAGAATGATTACAGGGGAACTGAGGGTACATTTAGAAACGACTGTAGACAGAGGTGTGCCTCATCGCTGCCTGTTCTTCTGTCGACTCATTTAATTGCTCCACTTGCTTCTATGATGGAAAATCTGTCCAAGTGGGAAGTGGCCTCACTTCTATTAAAGAGAAATTCCCCCGTGCCGTCAGCAAACTGACTGTCAAACATGATATAAGACGTCGGATGCGTACACGTTTGATGTTGTATCTTCATTTCAGACCGTTGGTCCGACAAGGTGACATCTTTGATCACTCACGCTCTCGCTGCCTTTGAAACATTTCATCACAAACTTTGTCAGGACCCAAGATTTCATCCTGTCTTCTGGTTAAATTGAGTTTAATTCTAATATTTTACTCAACTCTAAGCATAAAAAATGAGTATTGTGTAAATATTTCAAAGCAAACAAATGATAAAAAAGTACCGTTATAACAAATATACGTTTTGTTTCTCCTAAAGAACATAGATAACACTACACATAGATAACAAATATACGTTTTGTTTCTCCTACAGAACATAGTTCACACTACACCATTACATCCATTAGATTACACCAATCTGGAGGATTACATCACCTTTACTCTGGTGGAGTGTTTCCCAAACGTTTTTCTGGGGACCCATATTTTAAAAGTCAGTTGTAAACTCCTGGGAAACATGATGCTAGACGACCCAAAAGAAAACTCTTGCGACCCACCTGAGGGGTCGTGACCTAGTCTCTGGGCAACAATGGATTAGACTAATGAAAATGCAATTTATTTTTTGGCAAAATCAAATAACTTTTTTGAGAGGTTTCATCCAGAGTTGTGGACATTTGGGTACACTGTTAAATGTTTATTTTCTAACTGGTGTTTGATGTCCTAAGCAGCCAAAACTTTTTGACTGAAAATGCAGAAGAACAGTCTCTTTGTGTCACTGTCTGATTTGTATACATTTTTTTTTAAAAGTCCAGTCCAGTACAACACGCTGTGTAGGGAGACGCGCACGACTTCCTGTGTGTTCAGCTTCGACACTTCCTTTGGCTACGGCCATTTTCTCCCCATTATGTTGAAGCAAAGGGCCAGTGGCTTCCAGAGACCAGGGCCCAGTTGCTAAGGCTATCATTCATAGCTGAGAGAAGGAAAGGATTAAGGCCACTGCTAAAAGAGCAGGAGAGAAGAGGCTCTGAATCTTAATGCAAGTCTGAGTGTGGAGCGGTGTTGTTATGAGGTGGCTCTGTGGAGACGCAGCCTCTGCTGAATACAGACTGGTTATAGGAGGTGGAAGTTGAGAAGAAAAGTAGAAATGAAAAATATACAAGTTTATATCATCAATGGTAGGGACATATGAATATGACATAAAAGGGTCTGAGGATGAGGTAAACCAAAAAAGGTTCTATTTAAATCAAATAATGCGTATAAATGACATGGAAAGTCAAGCACAAAGGCTAAAATGCTAAAATGCTTTTACCATTTTCTACACCTATCTAGTGGAGAAACGTCAAAAATCATTTGGAAAACTTTGATGGGCCGGATTGAAAAGCTGAATGTGCCACATCTGGCCCCCGGGCCTCAGTTTGCCCATGCCTGCTCTACCATAATTCAAGAACCATTCTTACTCCTCGTACCACAGACTCTCATGAGCGCCACCTATTGCAGCTGATGCTGTTCTAACAAAACAGGGAGTCATAACTAAAACAGACAAGCCATTGGAAAATCACTAAAAATGCACATAATTTTAAATCATATTAAGTACTGCTGCCTCAGATTAGAAATACATTTTTTATATGGTAATATCAGTTGACGCGTCACATTTAAATTATTCTGCATCTTTATTTAATTTCCTTCTAATTTCCTTCTGTACTGAACTGTACATCCCAGAGTCCTTAGCTACGTGCATATTAAAATTTAAACCTAATGAGAGGCTAGATGTTTGTTCATCACTTCATCTGCGCATTAGCGATGTTGTTGTTGTTGTTGTTTTGTTTTGTTTTTTGTTCAGGATCCTGAGGGTTTCCACAGACTTTCAGTTGGGCTGATTCAAAACTGTAAGGAGCCACAATGTGAAGAACTTTCTGTGCATGCTTGTTTGGATGCCTGGCTTGCATTTTAAACAGGCAGCAGATAAACATTTTACCAATCAGTATGCAGACTTCGCACGCAGTGGCTTTTATCATGTCTGGGCCAGGACACTTTCCTGAACTGAAGCAACTGCACTGATTTTATCCACACTGTTCTATACAAGTGGCTTTGTTGGCAGTTTGTGACGTTCAGGCCTCGGAGCAACCAAAAAAAAAAAATCAACAAAGGACTTAAAAGTACAGGTCTGAATATATATATATTTATATATACGACAGCGTTAATGGGTGTTTCCTTGTGTCACAGTAACATGTTAGCACTTCATTTGGTGTGCAGCCCTACGGCAGCCGTGGTGATAAAGCTCCTCCTGTGTTAGAATGAATTTCTTTCAGCCCTGGTGTACCAGCGCCGGAGAGCACAGCCAGCAGCAGTGTGTTCCACGGGGGCAAGTGAAAAGATAGTTTGTCACCCATTCCCAAGCCTCCACTCTCCAGAGGAACAGGATCTGGAGTTGGCAGTAAATGATATCTGAGTTTCTCATCTAAGTGTCAGTGGAAGCCTCAGCAAAGTGTTCTGAATCCTGGAAGGAAAGTGACAGGTAGACAGTCAGGGAGGGTGTGTGACCTCTTTACAAAAGTTGGTCTGTATAGTGATGTCACTGGTGTTGGAGCACATCAAGTCAAAGTGCCGTGCACCTCGTCTGGATTTGTCACAGAACGTACAGCAGATGGTGGGACTCAGGAAAGGTTTTCAGGAAAATGAAAACCAAGACGTTAGTGACAAATAAACTGTGAACCAACCAACGTAGAGTTAACTGTTTGACACCCACCTCCTTGCCATGACTTTATGGTAAAAGGGACTGGGCCTGATACGAGAGGATCGTTGGTTTGGATCCTGCCTTGGCCTGGTGTTCTGTGTTAAAAGTGATTGGGTCCTCGGTTTACGACGTCCTTGACTCGTACTTATGTACCAATATGTGAGTTCTAACTTAAAATTGAGTTACATTACACCTTAGGAACGGAATTCGAGGTAAGTCGAGGACCGCCTGTATACGTACTATAAAATAAAGCTGATTCTTCTTCAGTTGTTTTCTAGTTCTGTCAGTCCTTTATTTTTTTTTGAGGTCAACTGGACTGTCTTGGTGACTTTACGATGGGGGTTCACTTTCACCTCTCGTCCGTCCTTTTTCAGACCTGAAGAAGCCTACATCCGGCCTACGTCTATCGCTGTGTTTAAGTGTAACTGCAATGACAGACACACAGGTTTTGCTGTAGGAAAACATTCTAAAATAAACACCATCTTGTTCCTCTCCCCTGTCACACCTGGTGCCCTGGGTATACGTACAAACATCTCTCCAGCACTCGCTCCATCACGAGTTGGTGTCTGTGATCTCTGGCAGTCGTTTGTTTCTGGTCCTTACAGTCTCGCCTGTTTGTTTCCATTCCACAAGTTTTGTTTTGCCGTGTTCTCTTCTGTTCTCTGCTTTCTGCACCTGGTGTCCCGTTCTGCACAGCCTCCTGTTCTCTGTTCTCCGTGTGTTTCCGCTCCGTCTGTTCAGTCTGTTCCCCTGTCTCTTTCCTTCCTTTCCTGAGTTTTCTGTTGAGTTAGTTCCAGCTAATTTTGTTCATCAGCGTTCCGTCTGTGTGTTTGAACTCCATCATAATAAAGAACTGGACTTCATTCCTGTCGTCGAGTGCTGCATTCAGGTCCTGTACAGTTCATGCTTTCACGCCCCTCTGTTCTCCTTCTCCAGGTAAGAATGATCCACTCTGCTGCTCTGAGATTCCACCCTCAGTCACGCTGTATTTACTGCAGTGTGTGTGTTTTAAAAAATCGTTTGCTTTTCTATATTTTGAAATAATATCTAAACTACAACAATCCTATACAGGTTATTTCCATTCCTGGGATTTCATCCTGCAAAAACAACACTTGCACAATGTGCAAGGTTGAGATATAAACCAGATCAGCGAACCCAAACAAACAACACATTTAATTTCCTACCAACATTTTTTTTTTTTTAAAAATACACCTGCAAAAAGCTTCTTTTAAATTCAACACACAGTCATTTCTGCAGCTCAGAAAACATGACTCATAAACAAAGGACTGACATTTACTCCGTGTCATTCATCCAGGCTGACAGGACTGTTTACATGTGACAACTGCTGTGAAAATGTATTAAAACAAATCCCACTTCTTAGTGTGTTACTTAATCAAGATCAATCACAGTCTTCACCCACGACTACAGCCTGTCGTGTTCGACAGTTTGACCATGTGATCATTTTTTCGAACGCTCTAATGAGAACGAGTGCAAAGGTCACAGTGACATGACAGATTTGGTTCTTTCCGCAGACACACTTTCCCACCGGGGAATGACGACATTTTATCTCTATAGACTTCAGTTTTGATGCAACATCTACGTCATCTACGAGATCTGTTACACTAG